GGCGGTGCCACGGTGACCGGGCGGGGCCTGTACTGAGTGCCGAAGCGTTGGGCGTTTTTCACGTTTTAACGGCAAAAAGAGCTCCCGGGTCATAATGCCGAGCGGGAGCGCCGCGCTGTTAAATAAAGCGACGCTGCTAAAGAACCCCAGGGGGTCTAATTCACCAAACCCACCCCCTCGTCTCCAAGGCGGAAGAGAATGAGCGACATCCAGCCCGCCGTGTGGTGCTGCCCGTTACCGACGTGAGGTCTGTGACCCGGGGAGAATTTAGGGCTTAACGGGATTGAACCATGGCCACCAAAAACGCCCTTGTCTCTCATTAAGCTAATTGCTCGGCTTCACATGGGAGAGGCCTCGCATTATGGCCTGCGTGTCACACCAGCAGCTGAAGGACTAGGAGGAAAATAACAGAGCCAGTGGTGCCCTGACAGAGCCACTAAATTATTGCTGAAGCAAATTTAATGTAGACTTTGAGGTAATTAAGTATAGGCTGGAATTAAAAAAAACAAAAAAAAACCAAAAAAAAACACCACCAAAACCCAGCTTCTAGTAAATTCAGGAATATCAAAACTTCATGCCAGTGGAAAAAAATCTAATTGCATATTCATTTTTATCATTCTAATTTTTCAGTAATAACGTGAGGTGTTGGTGTGGCTGTGGTGCGGGACACTCCACTCCACACTCATATTAAGTCTCTAAGTAACCACTGGAAAAAAGGTTATTCTGTTATAATTACAGACATTCTTAAAATTCTAGCTAATACTTGTTACTAGTACAATATACTTTTCAGATGAAGTCCACTCTATCAAAAATAAACACAGCTCTTAGCACAGTGTGTTGTATCCTAATTATATTACCAACTGTAAAGAAAAAGCCCTTCTGGTGGCTCATGGAAAGAGTTGCCTATTAAAGTGATGAGGTGAATAACAAAGTTGAAAACTCACATTTCAGGAAAACATACAGGTATTATTTTGAAAATAAGATTGTACAAACAAAATTTTGCATATACTACAACATTGTAAATTTTTTGTGTGTGTTTATGGAGAATATACTTAAGAATAGAAATACGTATTTCAAGCTTCTTTACATCTGGAGGAAAGTTAAGAAAATGAAATCTATTGATTTACAGATTAGGTGATTCAGAACTGTTACATTTCCATGATTGCAAGTGCAGAAGAAAAGGCACAGCCAAGTTCTATCCTAATCAGTACATGATTGCATTATCCATAAAGGTCGTTTTTATGAGTTCAACATGTCCCATTTAATGTTGTCCCACTGACATTTAGTGGAGTTTTAACCTTCCCCTTTGAAGCCCAGAACCCACAAGACACTGAGACAAGCATATACCTGAGTTTTTGCAGTAACAAGAACAACTTCAGAAATGTTTTACCTTTGCTTTTGCCACAGTTGCTGCAGTTGGACTAACAAACAGGCTGCTGGAACATCAGTGCCTCAATGTGCAATGATTTGGGAGGATAGTTTACTCATTTGGGCTTTTTGTTTTTCTCCAGAAGTGGGTAGATGAGTGAAAAGATTGAGATTGCATGAAAACTTAAGAATAAAATGCTCTATTTCTGACTTCCAGGTTACTGCATGTCTGGTGGAAGTGAGGCTTTTGAGCAGCAGCTTCAGATTTCAGATCTACTGAGCTTTTCTGGTAAGATCAGACAGCAGAAGCAGTTATAAAGAAATCAAGAAGTATACAGAGTAATGCCAGGAGAACAGTCTCATGCAGCTCTACTACAAACATAGTGGGTTCTTAGGAATACTATTCCCTGCACACATTTATTACATGATGTCCAACAATCCAAGTATTCTGGTAATTATAGAGGAAAGGTCACTGGAAATTCAACCATTGCAAGAGCCTTGCTCAACTGCCATGTTAGCTGGTTCTGCCTAGCAACACAGCTTCATGTAGAGAAAGTGAGGACTAGTGACATGGTACTAATCTGCTTGTTTCTAGGTTATGGTTACTCCAGTTCTGTGTAATGAAAAAATGTGTGGAGAGTTTGTGCAAGGCAAGACTATTCTTAGACTACACTTCAGAGCCATGCATGCAGGAGCCCTGCTGTTCATCTTTGGAAGACCTTTAAGCAGTATTATTTTCCATACCTGGATTCCCTAAAAAACCCCAAAACCTAAGCCAACCCATCAGATAAAACATGTAAGAATAGGTGAAAAAATTTAAATCTGTCAGTATATTAGAATTCAATCATGGCTTTCCAAATGTCAAAGGTTTTTCTAAAAAAAAAACCCCACACCTGAGCCTAAGACAAAACCGTAACTGTCTCTTTTGATCTGTGTAATCATGGTCTTCAAATGAAACCACAATTGCAGTATCACTTTCTCTCAGCTGGAGGTTTCCCAGCTGCTCTCACAAGCACACTGTGAGTCAGAACTGAACGTGGACGGCTGGACGTGGCTCCTGAGGTTCTGCTTCTCTCTCTAGTGAACATGCAGTTCATCTCTCCACGATCCAGTGTGGCCTCATCACTAGAGAGCCATTCCTCTTAGTCAGTGGAGGAGAAGTATGCATTACATTATTTGACACGTAGACTGCCTCTCTGGAGGCGTGCAGCCAGCTTCTCTTCCTTTTGAGATTTCCTACAAATGCTCTAAGATACAAAAACTCCATTCGCAGGAAGTTTTCCCTGGACAAGTCTCTGGAAGCCACTGTTATCCTGACCAGTTGGTCCAACATCTCATTCTTCTTGCAGCTGGAGAACTCTTTGAGGTTAATAGGCTTGGACCGTGCGTAAAGAATCCGAAATTCCAGGTCAAAGTGTGCAACTGCAGGGCCTGACAGGATCAAAATGTTGCTGCTGTTCAGCTTCCCATCTGTCCACGTAAAACTAGCAAAGAAAGAATGAGAAAATTCTGACTTAATTGAAAATAAATAGTAAACAAAGTATTAACTAAAAACTATCATTCATCACATTTAGTTAAATCCTTTTTATAATCCAGATGATGAGCAGTGTGCTCTTTTTAGGACAAACATTACAAATAAACTGTGATAAGGAAAGCAGTTTTGCAACATGGCTGTTTTTCCTTTCCATGTAAAGAAATCATATTAAACAACAGAAAGAAATGGGCACTTGCCTGTAGGAGCCTGTTGTCACTCTAATGCCATCAATTAACATGAACTTCTCACGGACTTTTCCAACAATTTTGACACCTGACCTTGTGTAGTATGTCTTCCCAGTGATATTCCGAATTCTCATCAGCTGTGAAAGATGTGGCAAGAGTCACGTGGATTTCACAGTTAAATCTTTGCTCTTTAAGGAGTAGCACAGAACAATAACGATCTCTGACAAACTAACCAAGGTTGGTGCACAGTGGCACAAGGTTCACTCTCTAGGAACCAAATGATATTTTTGTCTTGTTTTAGTAAGTGAAGAGGTGGCAGGAAGGAGCAAACCCATAAACTCATTGTGCAGCATGTGGTTGTAAAAACTCCTATTGCTAGTCTTGGAGGGACCTGAACTCCACAGATTGCTGAGAACCTGCTTCTACTACAGGCTTCAAAGTGTCAGCAAGCCTGAGCAACTCCAGTCATGCTTTAGGAACTGGACATTCCTCCATTTCCTTGAATGCTCAATTAGTGTTTGTGCTTAGAACACACCTGTAACTTTGACAGGTTTGTATGGCAAGAAATGGCTTTTTTATGCAAGAATGGTTAAATCTTCCAAGAAAGAGCCAGAGCTACATAAGCCCCAGTGTAAGCTGTGGCAGCAGGCATGCTAGTTTCTTCTTTTGATAGCTTCAAAATTTCAGTCATAAAAGGATCAAATCACTATCCTTATAAACATGACAAAGCTCACCTTCTCCTGTTCAAGGTCAACCCCCAGATCCTTGCACATTTTCAGAAAGTGGGAAAATGAAGACTGATCCAGCAGGATATATGCTTTAACTTGCCGCTGGCTACAGGCTTCCAAGAGGTCTTTGAAGATATCAGTATCTGTGAAGGAATCCATGACCAGGGCAATCATCTGTAAAAAGTTTCAGAAGACATCATTAGGCTGTTTCCATAGCATTCCAAGGGAGATGGGACATGAGGAATCTGACTTTCAAATTAAATATCCCTCCCCCTTTTTTTTTATTTCCAGGTGGTTGTGGAACAACTGTGGTACAGTCTTCTGTGATACAGTGTGTTCTGTTGTTCACAGGACTGCTAAAACATTTAACAGACATGTAAGAAAGAGATGAGAAAGGGGAAAGAAACCAACCTAACAAAACAACAAACCTCTGATTAGAATAAAGTTCTGTGAAAAGAATGGTATTTTGGTACATGTGATTACCAAGTGCAGTACACTGAAGTACAGGAGGCACAATATACATCACCCATCACCCCTTCACTGTCGTCACTTATGTCCCTGTACAGTTAATTAGGTAGAAACCCTGAATTAGTGGACAGAAATTGTTGTTGAAGATTACTTGCCCAAATTTTATTGTTGCTTGTCGATTTATAGAAGATATCATGTAAGATTTTTATTGCAGCATTGTAGAGCTTTTTTATGTTTCTCTGTTTAAATTTAATTTCAGCATAGAAACCTTCTTTTGAAGCTTTTTACACTGAACCTTCTTTTGCCAAGACATTTTGGTTCAATAGGTGTCAACAATGGAGCCTCAAAGCCTATTGTAGAAAGACACCTTTTATCTATTTAAAAAACAGAGTAAGTGGCAGCAATTATAGCTCCTGCATCTGTCCAGTTGCACATTATTAATCAAAGTTGTAGTAAAAACTTCCCTTTTAATACTGCATAACTTCATGAAAAAAAAAATAATAATCAGAGAAATCTGAGCACTTTCTCACTTCCCCCCAACTCTAGGGCAGTGCCAAGACCTATGAAGGCAGAGGGAGACTTGAAACCTCTTCAAAAAACCTCTCACTAAACAAATATTTTGCATGAGGAAAAGACAGACACTTTGCTGTCCGTCTTCTTGAGCTACATCAGTGACTTCTGGTGCCAGAGGAGCTCCAAACTGATCATGAAAATGTTTGGGGGTGCTGAGAACATCTCCAAAGAACCAGAAGGGTGGCAAAATAAATGTCTTGCTTCAGGTTTCTTCCTTACCCTGAGATATGGCAAAAATAGGGATCTAGTTCTATCTCAGACAAATTTGGACTCTGATTTCTAGGCAAGAGGTTTTTGGGTTTTGTTTTTGTTTTTCCTGAGAACAGTTGTCTTTTCCTCAAAAGCATTGCCTGAAAATAAAGGTGAGCTTACCTCCAAAATGTAACTTTTACAATCTTTCAAACTTTTCTAATATGAAAAAAACCCCAAACCACCAAGCAGTAAAAAAACCCAAACTGGGTGCCTGCTCCTTATGTCTCACCTCTCTAGGTTAAAAATGAGGCTTCTCCCCTACTTACTCAGATTCTCAGTGCTATTTCGAGCCCAAATCTGATTATTCACCTCAGTTCCTTGAGTAAAACCCCCTGGAGAGGCAGTTCCTGCCCTCCTGGGTCCTTTCCAGGGACCAGACCCCCCAAGCTTGACTTGTACTTGATGTGGGAAGAGCTGGTTGGAAGTTTAGAGGAGGCATCTCACACAGGTTGCCAACTCCCCGAGCTTAGCCTGGGCTCGGTTTTCATCATTATGGGAAAAAA